GTTACCATTGGTAATAACAATTGTAATAGATATAATGATAATAATAAATTTTTATTAATTAGTATACAAATGGACAAAATGCATGACAGCAGAGAAGAACAAGCGAAAGATCGCGTGCGTACTTAGCGACTCGAGCGATACAGTCGCGCGATTGCGGCCGTCCGCCACTCGATCGCTAGCTGTTGGTTAGCTGGGATACTCAGCGCCCATAATGCAATTATCACTAAACCAGTCAGATCGCTCAGCTGTCGTCGGGCGCTCGCGCGACTGTCGGAAAGCATTCCGTTCTGAATGTAACTGCATTAGTAATTGTAGCGGTCCAGCGATTAGCGTCTAGCGCGATCGATTCCAAGGTCGCCGGCTGAATGGCTCAAGTCGTTAAGTATGAACACGACCTGAGCGTTTTACTCGAGAATCCTAACAGTACATGACATTATCATTCGAACGAAGTCGACGATTGGTACCTTCCCCTCGTTGATCTCCATATTGCTCAGCAGTAGATCCACTTCACGGCCAGACATCCTCTCACCTGAATAAAGGCCTCCATGTACACACCAGTCTCGTCTAAGGCTCAACAGGAATAAATAAACATAGGTAAAGACTTACCTTCCTTGACTTAGGACTTACCAGAATTCTGAAGCATATATCGAAGATCGGGTAACATCACGATGCCGGCTCCTTCCCGATCGAAGTGAGCGAGAAGATTCTGAACGGCACACAAAGCATACATATTGATCCGAGGATGCTCATCAAGACGAAACGAAGCGGAATAGGGATATTTTTTTTCAACTCTGTCTCAAAATTACTATTCAAAGAAGGATAATTCACCTGAAACTCTTCCGGTTTAGGTGGCACACCCACTTCTTTTTTCACATTTTTGTAAATCGGCGCGAATTCTTCCATGGATACGCGAGCCTCTGAAAGGGTATCCGTGGCTATTGATGAGGCGAATGATGAATATAAAGCTACTCAATTACCGTCTACAACGGGTAGTTGCAATTGGTGGAGCGCTCAGATTGCTTACCTGGTTGATCTTTCCACTGCTGTGTCATCCGCTCAATGAGTCCCTCGGTTGGCTGAAGCTGCAGTGAACGAAGGCAGTTTCCTATCTGCAGAAGGAAGTATTACTTACTTTCTCACTGCAGCAATACACGGCGTAGTTGCTTTATTGTGATAACTGTTGCTTGACACCGGAGATTGTGCTCAGAAAGTCACCACGAAAGCACCGAGTCATGGGCAAAGGTCTTGGCCACAGGTTCCGAGTGCACGCCCACGCTCATCGGACGAATTCGCTACGCACATAGGCACACTCCGCTGAGATAAAACAATTCAAAATTTGTCAGCCCTCACCCTCGCGTTCATGAGCCGGACCAGGCTGATCGCGCAGGATCGGATGCGTGGGGCTAGGGCACGGAGGGCGGGATGCGCACTGTTAGGATCCCAGAGGCGTATTCGTCCTGCAGGCGTGTGGTGCGGTTAGAGTCCCCCCCCCCCCCCCCCCCCCCCCCCCCCCCCCCCCCCCCCCCCCCCCCCCCCCCCCCCCCCCCCCCCCCCCCCCCCCCCCCCCCCCCCCCCCCCCCCCCCCCCCCCCCCCCCCCCCCCCCCCCCCCCCCCCCCCCCCCCCCCCCCCCCCCCCCCCCCCCCCCATGAGGTCGGTTTTCCCCATGACTCGCCATTTTTGTGTTGACAAAACATTTTAATGTTTCCTTGCGATTGCCATGTACATGCCTTTTGATTGAGTTTCTCGTTGTGGCTTCGCAGGCTTTCCAAACCCCACGAAAGTTCGCAGGCACATTGGTAGGATCCTTCTGAGTACATGAACTGAAAAAGGGTCTAGGCAAAGGCGGAATGCCTTCCCCCAGCCTCTCAAGCTTCTTTGCCCGATGCAGCGCCAGGTTCCACCTTGTGGAAAGTGCCCTTTAAAAGGACACCCTTGCGCAAATTTGAGTAGAAATCGAATCGCTTATCGCGCAGTCTCAGAAGAACAAATTGACAAACGCACCCTGTGAAGCAGCGATTCTTTAGATCGCCTCTTTGTATGCGTAGAAGCTGATACACTCTTTCTATGGCCTTCCATTCTGAAACACTTGTATTGTGAGGAACTTATCATCGAAGCGAGCTCAGGTTATCTCCGGTATTGAGTAGGTAGCCCATCTCAGTGAATGATAGGCGCTTAACTTTTGTGAAGCTATCCTACTATCAGTATAATATCCGATATGTTGTCTGTGTGTGTGGTCTGTGTGTGTGTGTGTGTGTGTGTGTGTGTGTGTGTGTGTGTGTGTGTCACGAAATTCATAGCGAGCGTCGCAGAAAAGATAGGATGACAGTTCCAAGAAGATATACATGGCAGGACGGGAACACTTTTGGCTGGTTCAGGTGGTTTGATAACTCTTGATAAGATACGATAAGGGGCCGTAGAAGGGGAGGGTGACTGAATTCGTAGCGCAAGTTGCAGCAGGTGTGGGACCGTGATTTTAAGGAGTGATATACATGGCAGGACGGGAACACTTTTGGTGGGTGTCAGGAGGTGATAACACTTGATAAGATACGATAAGGGGCCGTAGAAGGGGAGGGTGACTGAATTCGTAGCGCAAGTTGCAGCAGGTGTGGGACCGTGATTTCAAGGAGTGATATACATGGCAGGACGGGAACACTTTTGATGGGTGACAGGAGGTGATGACACTTGATAAGATTCGATAAGGGGCCTTAGAAGGGGAGGGTGACCGAAATCGTAGCGCAATTTGCAGCAGCTGCAGGACCGTGATTTCAAGAAGTGATATACATGGCAGGACGGAAAATTTTTGTGGGTGAACAGAAGTGATAACACTTGATAAGATTCGATAAGGGCCTTAAAAGGGGAGGGTGACCGAATTCGTGGCAAGTTGCAGCAACGGCGGGACCATGATTTCAAGTACTGATATGCCGTAGGGTGGGGCTGGCAGAAGCTGATAACAGTTGATAAGATCCGATAAGGGCCTCGGAAGAGGAGGGTCATCAAATTCGTGGCGCAGAGTAGCAGCAGAGATGAAAAACAGTGGAACGTCAGATGACGTGGGTGATATAGGGTGTGGGACGGGAACATTATTGGCGGGCGACAGAAAGTGATAACCAGTTGATAAGATACGGTAAGCGGCCTCGGAAGGGGAGGGTCATCAGATTCGTAACGCAGGTTACAGCAACAGTGGGACCTCTGATCCGAGAGGCGATACAGGGTGATATGATAGTGATACGGGACGGGAGTGTTATTGGCGGGTACGGAAGTGATAGGAGCTAAAATTGACAAGGTAGCATGGGAAAATCCGCTTCACCGCTCACAACAACAATGCGATCGATATGACTCAAGTATAACGATCTCAGTGATTCCAACAGAACTCATTCCTCGCTGCTTATTAGTAACGACATCGTGTACGACCGCTAAGCCAGCTCTATTCCAAATGCATGTGGTTTGTTTACAGAGATGTTATGCACAGCAGCAACTGACTTTATCACTCTTACCACAATTATCTTCCATCAGCAACTTCAGTGAGGGCCATTTAAAGGTTCCACTGCTGAATGCGGTAGTGCATTCCCAAAGCAAGACGCTTTAGGAAGACAGATTGCATATATTATGGGCTGCTTCAGTGGCTGTCCAAACAGGCTGCACTATTTCCGTGTAGGTTATGAACGTACCAGTCGGATCGCTGGCTAAGGTAGGCTTTCCTCCTTCTGTGATGCGGGGGGGGCGCTGCTGCTGCTTCTGCGCCTTGACGGAACAAGCGCTGCTTTTCAGTTCTTGGCTGATGCAGAAGATTCCTTTGAACAGTGTGGTTGGTCAACGATCCTTAACTTAGCACGCGGCAAATCCGCATGGCCCGGCGAAGCCGGGCCATGTCACAGAAGGAGGAGCGCCCGGCGACAGCCGGGCGATCCGACTGGTAT